TGACACGGGCTCAAGGAGGGCTTGGAATTAATAGCTCGACATATCTAATAACAGTTTTTGGTATGAAAGGTCCTTGGTTTTCCTCAAGGCCTAGTTAAATAAAAAGCTTTACTTATGCAAGAAGCGGTATGAGCCTTCTGCCCTAGGTCCCGTGATTGTAGCCCTCGTGTAACTATGTGACGCAACATCAGGAGATGGCCGTATCACACGGGGGCCCGCTGACAGCTCCGATCATTGACATTTCTAAGACGGACCATCAATGTCGAAAGTTTTAGTCGCTGCTATCGTCAAGATTCAATAGTCAAAAGGGCGCAAAGTTGGACATGGGATATGCTTGGGTTTCCCAATGTATGGATTCCGACGACAGTCCTTAGTTTTCAACTTCAGGCCTTTGATCCGTATTGCCTTGAGAGAATCCCTGCTGAAAGTCTGCTACTTTTTGTCACGCTTGGGTTATAAACAGCAAAGTGGACTTTGGAACCTAAGTGTTGGGATCCCGATGCATGAGATGACGGTTGTAATGTATTATGTCGCCTTTAGCCACAAATATTCGTCAACCTCTACAGGAACCCCGCATGTGGGTAACACGGTATCCTCAGTGTATATAACGCGATATCCTGGTACGTGATCTGATCAAATATTTGCCCCTTGTTACCTAATTACTAGACAGCTATGCCTGGAATCTCAGAATAATGGAGCAATTATGATCCACTCTTCAAGTCAGTAATGTAGGTATTAGTTCATCTTAGGCTAAGTAGGCACCTAATGTTGCACAGAACTCAGTCGCTAAAGGCGGCATATGCTCCTGCACAAGGGTTCGTGGATAGTTAAACCACGAGCAGGATAAAGTCAAGATCCAACCATCCATCAGGATATCCAAGAAATGACCATATGGATCTCAACTATCTTGGCTGAGAAAACAGTTAGCTAAAAGTACGGGTCAATCAGATATTTACGACCAATTTTCATGCGGCGGCAGTCGTCATGGCGTGAATATCTAGCGCTAGCCTCGATTATGCGTATCGGAGTGCATGTTGTAACTTCTGTTCATCTTTGCCTCTCCGCCTCGCAGGATTTCTTCCCGTTCCTTGTGGCCAGCAGCGCCCGCCTGGCTATCGTAACCGATGTGGTCCGTAGCCATGCGGCCACGAGAATTTGCGGCTCTTTGGAAATACAGTGTTAGCCGCTTGTCGTGAAGTTAGTGTTGCGAATGCTCTTCGCTTACTCGCCGTATTTGTCTCTTGCTAGACTTGCATATCGAGCTGCGCTCTGGTGCCAGTCTTTAGTCTGGGTGTCTCCCCATCGTACAACCCTGGGCTTCTTCGCTTCATCTCTATTGAAACTTTGCCGGCTGACTTGAGTGGTCTCCATCTTCTCTTATATCACATCAATGCATGACCACGGTCAGTCACGTGAGATGCTCGCCTAACCGTCAGATTGCCCGCGACGCAACGTTAAACTATTGAGTCCTCGTTTCCTTGTCAACAGGACGGCATTTATTTGTTTTCCGAGCTAACAAACATTCTACGCGACTAGAGAGAGGTCGTATCAAACGGGCATTCTACCGGCTTGAATTATATTGCAACCTTTTCTGCATATTTCCCAAAATATATGCAGAACTCCCTACACACATAGAGCAAAAACAGCTTTTCTTTACTAGCTTTGCTCCCTGGGAGAATGAGCAGCTAGGCTGCATTCACGATTTTCTTGTTCGAGTTATTTCTCCAGGTGAGTTCCTAGGCATAAAGTGTACAATTATAGAATCTAGAACTTATCTCAATACACTAGCATTCAATGATATCGCAGAACATGATATCGCTTGGGGCGCATTCCGGGTAGACTACGATGACCGGATTGATTCCCCCTTCATGCAACATGTTCTCTCACTTGGATTAAAGAAGCTACATAGCGTCATCCTAGCAGAAACATATGAAGAACGATATCAACTTCTTTATTCTCGTGGTTTTCCGCCCGTCACAGATAACTTTCTCTATGAGGGGTTACAAAGCGCAAACGAACATAATAACCATGTCTTCCTCGATAGCTTGTCGCCAGAGGATGAGGCTCTCCTGACTAAGCGTTCCCTTTTCGCAGATCCGGATCGGGTGCAAGAGATGCCTGGCGATGGGCACATCTGGAGGAATCCTGGACAAATTGGGTGTATCAAGAGGATCGTGATAATCTACGTCGATGGGGTTACGTCATGTGGGACAGATGGCGGTTGGATTCTGTTGGCATCTTGCAGGAACCCTGGGAGGACACAATGAGTTCTACAGATTTGCTGCTAGAGGAACAAGAAGCTGCGCGGCAACGAGCTTACATGGAGAACTCATGGGAGAAGAGGGAAAAGATCTACAGGAGTGGCGGCACTGGTTGGTGGAGCTGGGGAGATGAAAGCCAGGTGCGATGGCGAGACGGAATTGCGCCTGGACAGAGACCGTCGGTTCCTGCACGTATTAAGCCCGACTCTCTTCAAGAGGCCCAATACATGCTGCAGATGATGAAGCTGCCGCCGTCATGTGCCAAGCCATCTTGAAGCTCGTTAGATATGCCTACCCGTCATGCCTTACATAGTATCGGCGAGTATCTATAGACGGTTAGCGATAGATTTGAAGAATATAAGAGGTTCTCGACATAAACCCCACTATGTGTAGTCTTTCATCTCTCGCTTGTACATGCCTTGTCGCCTCGGGGTATGTATGCTGTTTCTAAGGTGCTGGATAAAAAGCGGCGATTTACTCACACCTGAGTTGCGCGCCACAAATCACACCCAAACTTTCCCTATTAGTGTCAAGCCAAAAGGACATACTTATATGCTGGATATAGGGGGTATTCAGCCAAGGGCCGCAATTGCTGGGTCTTGTTTCTGCACGGCTCAATGGTCAAACCGATGATTGTCGTGACATCGAAAGACAGGAGGCCCAAGTGCCTCTGCTAAACGCTACTACTAGCCTAGAAAGCCTCACCTATAAGAGCACATAGATTCACGGGACCCGCGATTTTAAGGATTACACGGGTCATTTTATCTACAGTATGATTTCTCCACTTCACTGATTGAATGATAGTTATTAACATAGTACGCTTTATTTTAGCGACCGCGTTTATACGCGTCGAGCATAGCACTGTACGAATAAACCGGCCGCTAAAAGCTATCGGTGACTTTCAACCACGAAATAAACCGAAGGCTTGCCTCATACCAAGCCGCTACCCTGGAGATTCTACTCAACCAGACACTAGCTGAAGCTTTTTTAATAGGTCCCATGTATCGATTGAGTACCAGGGCCCATGCAACTCCAGGCAACTACACCGGAAGCTCCGGTAGTAGAAGGACCCATTACTTGGACAAAGACAAGTAATAAACGGGATAAAAATCAAACATTCGGCAGTATCGCAGAGTCAATCACATGAGTCATATGTCTAGCTACCATAAAGAATCTACCCTTTTAACACTATATCTCTCTTTAGCATTACTTGTATCTTGAAAAATATATACTATGTAAACTAGGAAATTAAAGCTCAAAATGAATTTCATTTACACTTAGAATAAGCCTCTCATTGCCTGAGCGTAGACGGATTGCCATGGTGATTACACACCCAAAAAAAGAATAGTGAACGTTTACGAGTCATGGCTTTAGGCCATGCAGGCCTATGTTTTTATTTGGATGGTTGATGGCCGTGGCTTAGATGAAGTGTTTAGCGTCCTCTACTGACGCATGTTGATGATAAGGCTGTTGAATGTCAATCGAGCAGCGTGAGGTTTCAGAAATAAAGAGGGCGAGGCATATTCTTATACCTAGAGATGCGCGGAATCCTGTCTCCGGCACAAGACCTGTTAACGGTTTGTTCTGACATGTACCAATTGGTGCCGACTAGTATATTACCAGACGTCATCCGTGGGCTCTGGCTGGCTGACAGTGCAAGGCTCTACTCGTACCTCGTAGTTGTCATGTGCTTGTCGTTGGCGACATATATGCCTGCACCAGACTTGACTCTTTTTGCCAGGCGCGGACCTTGTGAATCCAATATCCATTTACAGCCAACCAGGGTCAATTGGTGGATTCCGGATCCCGAATCGTGCTCAGTAGAAACGTTGAAACATGAGGTAAGACCATGGGAAACGGCAACTGGCAGGACAGCACCCATATGACAAGACAAGACGAGGCACATGTGCTCAGCTAGCACAAAGTAGAAAATATTAATAGTACTACCACAATGTTGCAGGAAGTTGCTATGTTGCAGGAAAGCGCTCGTCGCAAGCTTTGGATAATTATGCTCCCACCACTAGCTCTGGGCTCGGAAATGTCCAACAAGAATGGATCATGTACGTACGACAGCAACATGGGATGAGGCCCTTGCCCGCCTTGCATGTATCGAGGGGACACATATTTCATCTTTCGGTGCCCACGACAAGATTGCGTATGTGTTTCCAGCTTGGGCACTGGTGCAGTCATGCCCTCAAGCAAATACCGGCGAATATATATTGATGTGGGGTTCCATACCGACAGAATCGTCCCAGGTGTATAACTCAAATTTAAAGCAACAGGACACTACGGCAACATGAGACCACTTGGCGCCATGTTGCTATCCACCGACTGAGCTTCCATTGCTATTACACCTCAGATGCATTGACATGACCCATGAAGCGGACCGGCCATATTACGGAGTTTTTTAATAGAAAAACACAGCAATGCACTGGCATGCATAGAACCAAGCAATACTTTTTGTGCGTAGCCTGAGACGGAACCTTACCATGCGACTTTCCTTAGTTGCCAATGTTATACGAGCACTGGTACGTTGACTGCGCAGAGCTGTCCTATAAAGAGGACGCTTTTCCGAGCCTCCTTGCCACGACCTGAAATTCACACCGGCTCCTGTGTTAGGTTTGCACTTCGCCTTGCTATCAACTTTTGGAACACACTCATCTTCCGCATTCGCCATGGAGCTCTATATCGCACTTCCCTTCCTGGTGGGTGCTGTTCTTGCAGCCCCCCAACAGCAGCATGCCGCTCGCGACACCAAGCCCTTCAAGGAGCCCGCAGCCGATAGGTCGATCTTCTGTGTACGCAACGACGGTGTATTACTACGGAGACTTTGCCGACGCTGACGCATGCCTCTGGTCCCGAGGCAAGGATCCCAAGACGATCGGCGCCTATCGCGTCCTGAACAAGGATGACTATGACGCTGGTATCCGGGCTCTCTACCAAGGAAATCAGATGTATAATCGATATGGGCTGATGATCCGCCTCAATGAAATCCGCGTCTCAGACGATGAGGACAAGGAGGGGACCGAGCTCATTGAACAACTCTCGAATTCAAATGAAGGCCGCTTGCGACTGCCCGGCGAATCCCTCGACCTGGCCAAACGCGAGTTCACGACAGCGTTTGTGCTAGAATTCTCCGACGAAATTAACCAGGCTATTCAGGAGGCAAGGAGCAAGCTTAGCGTAGCCTGGGACCAAGCCAGGGATGCTAATGTCAATCAGCTTGCCAACCTTTCGGGGTGGTTCCGCGGAAAGACGGAGGAGAAGTACTACCAAACCTGGTAAACCATGGTACTTACAACTATCAGGACCGACCTGGAGGTCTAGGACATGAGTACACATCCTGTAACATAAGATTGCCATCTGTTCTATTGACTGATCGATGTCTTGCGTGTATGAATGCATCAAAACTTGTATCTTGAGGCTGTGTCGCTAGCTTGCCTGTGGCATGCCAATAAGGCAGTTCTCTCCCATTGCGTCCCACTATTTGCAGCGCAAGACGACTGCTTGCAAAACCATCATCAATACAAATGACCGATGAAGAGGAATCGTCACGTTGAGAACTGTGACGGGGACAAGGACAGGCGGCTCTGTTCCCATTCGATCCTTGCCTCCTCTGTGTTTGACGCTATACACCGTGGTCACAAAGGTCTTTATTTATCAATTGATGGAGGTAGTGATGCCGCTTTTGGAGGACAATTTACAAACCGCTCAGGCGGACTCCGATCGGCCCCACAGCGACACTCGGCGCCGGGACCCATAAAAAGCACGGCGCTTGCTGGTGCGGTATTTCAATGTTGACAATGATGCAACCACTTCGCCCACCTGTTGATGCGAAGTCCTAGGCATTCTCTTTGATTCACTCTTAAAATATAGCTACAAGAGGATCTGACCATTCGTGCAGAACTTCTTAGACCAGCACTTTTAATCCAGAGTCCCGCCAAGGTTTGCATGATGCGCAGACGACGAATCTGCAGTGGACGCAAACTCAAAATCAAACGATCTCCATTCAACGGCTTGGCGTTTCGGGCCTTTCTTAGGCTTCCCACTGAGAAGAGCCAAAGGTGTCCGCACAGATAGGCCTGCAACCTCGGACATGATTCACCCGACACCGTCACTATCACTGTCCCCGTCGCCGTCCAATGTCAGGCCTTGCACCCAGTTTGCTCCCAATTCCACGGTTCATCCTTGCTGATGAGGTATGGAGCTACCTCGCACAGACTCAGGGCATCGGGCAACACGTCATAGGCCGCGACGATTGCTCTTTTGCTGTTGCATACCCCACAGTCCAACATGGCCATGGGTGCTCTGCATCGGCGATCGAGGTTGAAATCTACCAGACGCTTGAGAAAGACCCCTACCCGTAGTCGCCTTCAACAAGAAGAGCGCCCATCGGCAGTTGGCCGGCCCCACGGTAGTTCGTGGCTGAGCACGCATTGATACCCGTCCATCAATCGATAAAACTCGCCGGCGTCACATATCAACTGTTCCTAGACTCGGCAGAATAACCAGACAGTGCTTGAAGAGAGCCATGTCTGACGCCAGGAAATCCGCTCTTCGGGAGCTGAAGACGCAGAACAAACTCCCACATGTCGGCATCGTAGGAGCTGGTATTTCCGGACTAAGGTGTGCGGATACCCTGATTCGCAATGGATTTGAGGTCACCATTTTTGAGGCCAGAGAGAGGATCGGGGGTCGGGTAAGCATCGTACTTTTCAATTTTGCCGTCGTTTTGCTAAGTATAGCAGGTCTTTCAACAGGAGATAGGTGGCCATGCGGTGGACATGTGAGTTGCCTTGTCCCGATACTCAAGGTGCCATGTGCTGATTTAGAAGGGGCGCCAACTGGATTCACGGCACGAGCAACAATCCCATTGCACTCCTTGCCTCCATGACTGACACGGACATTGTCCCCGACGAACCCGACTCTATATTTTTCGACTCTGCGGGTGAGCGAATACCCAAGGATAAGGCAGATCCATGCGCAGAAGTTGTCGCGGGTGCTCTTAAAAAAGCCATCGAACACAGCAAAAAGCGCTCATCATCCATCGACCCCCAGACAAGCGTTTTAGACTACGTACTAGAAATAGTGAGACAATCGCATCTCAACGCAGAGTCCAAGATCATCTGCGAACAAATGATACACATGTACAATTCGGAGATTGGAGACTGCATTGCATCTCAGAGCCTGAAATACTTTCATCTCGAAGACGGCATGGATGGCAACGATGCTTTCGTCGCGTCGACGTACAAAAATATCATGCAGCTAATTGGCAAAGCTGCTAGAAGCGCCGATGCCATACAGCTTGGACAAGAGGTGGTCCAGGTGCAAACCTTGTCCCGAAACTCGGACAAGAAGGCCGTTGCCATTGAGTTGGCCGGTGGCCAAGTCAAGACTTTCGATGAAGTTGTCATCACATGCCCTCTCGGCTGGCTCAAACGACACAAGTCCGCCTTCACGCCTTCCCTGCCCCCCCGGCTCGAGCAAGCAATCGATAGCATCGGGTATAGTGCTCTTGAAAAGGTCTTTGTTTCGTTTCCTACTGCCTTCTGGAAGGAAGCAAAGGACAGACGCGATGCCGCTCCCTCGACCCTCGTTGCGAGCGACGAAGCTTCGAGGTTCATATTCTGGCATTTCTTGAGCCCGTCCTACCACCCGCTGACGAAGCATCTGGGCTCATGGACTCAGGAGTTTGTCGCCCTTTCAGGGCTTCCGGCTGCTCACGCTCATCCCACTCTGGTATTCTACGTGGCTCCTCCCTGCTCTCGTCATCTCATGCCGTCCTTCGCAGGCCTCGCCCCCCACTCGGACGCGTACAATGCCACTCTTCGTTCTTTTACTGAACCATTTTATTCTCGCATGCCAAACTACAGTGCAGCCAGCCCTGCTTGTCGCCCGACTTTGTTTCTTGGCAGTCAGTGGCAGAATGACCCCTTTGCAGGATATGGGAGCTATGTGAGCTTTCAAGTTGGGCTAGAGAGAGCTGATGAAGACCTGGAGATCCTGCGCTCCGGTGGAGGAAGGGGAACAACAGGCGGCAATCTGATGGGTAATGACCGCGGTGTATGGTTCGCTGGAGAACATACCGCTCCGCTATGCGGCCTTGGAACGACGACGGGAGCTTGGTGGAGTGGTGAAAGAGCGGCAAGAGACATTCTCGAGGTTTACGGCATGAAGAAGGATATGAAAAAGGATGGAATTGAGCCCGTGATATCATAGAGCTAGATTGGCACGTAGTGGGACGTAGGGAGTCTTGTGATCGTAAATGAAAGGTCGCTTGAGAATCCTCAAAGCATGGTGGTTATACGTCCACTACCGGTAAACCGCCGCTACTATATTGTCCCATTGCAAACCTCTCCATAAGCTTAGAGCTTGCACATGTGTAAGAGAGTAATGAGTAAAAAAGAGATTGTTCCATTGCGACAAGATTCTGATCCATATACAAGCCAAAATGAACACAAACGGTTAAAGATTGTTTGGCTTGCTAATTTGAATCGCGGGAAAAAACCATATAATAACGCCCAATTCCGTTTTGTCAGTGCTTCACCTCTACCAAGTCTTGTGCGTTCAATGTCAGGCCGGATTTGGCTTCTAAGGTAGTTTAGCCTTTCGGTAAGCAGGGTTGCTCTATTGGGGTTGTCAAGTGAATGGGAACGTTACATCGATACCCTGTAGAACTGCCAATATAGTCATTGGGACCTTCTTATCAGTGCAAGCAGTGAACAGACTCTAAAGATATGGAATATTAACGCGAAACAACTGTGTTAAACCGCTACAAGGACAGACTGACTGGGCACGGTCGGTTTGCGCATCTACCGAGGGGCGATTCCTTTCATCCGCAGGCAATAGCCAGACCGCCCATGTACGAGACATGTCAGGCTTAGATCTTAGGAATATACTAAACTTCACGGGCCGCAATCACGGCATTAATTGCTACACTCTTGCCTCCCATACCTCGTATCCATATTTGGCGGTAATGGCAGGATTGAAGGAGCCACCATTTGCTAGCAGCGCAACGAAATTCATCGCAATTGGCTCTCGGGATAAGACTATTGGAATACTTGCGGTAGTTGTCTTAAAACGCATTGGTCACGACAACTGACTGAGCGCAGTCGTGCTTCATCCTTGGGGGGGATACCTTATTTTCGCAGCCGACGATAAAGCACTACGCTGCTGGGACTTGAGCCAAGCAGGAATTTGCATCAAGGTGTTGGAGGGGGTTCATGAATAGTTCATAACTGATCTAAGATGGGCTGCCGCAGTAGCCAGGACTCAATCACAGCCCACACCGATAGCTCTGCTGGCCAAACTACAAACACGAAGACCCTATAGACGCGCAAATCCGGTGTGTTGTTGCTATGGGAGGCATGGATATGACGGTAAAGTATTTCCAAGCTAAGGCGAATTTTATTCTCAACTTACTGAGTTTTTATTTTTTTTTATTTTATAAAATATTTGTTAACGGAATATAAGAGGGTATAATTACTCCGCCGCTGTGCTGAATTACCGATTCGGCTAGTGTGACTGTCAACAGAAAAGGTCGGAAAACGCTGTATCTAAAACGCTAGCTGCTACACCAGTTGACCTGTTACACAACCTGCTTCAGCGGAGGTCTGAGGCCACTGAAAAATTAGGGCCTAATCATCGTCGACAAAAAGGGCCTCAAATCCCTCGATACATAGCTTCGATCAAGGACCAGCCCACTGTTCAATTTAATCCACAGCTTTCAACGTGATATTGTCTGACGCATCACGATGCGTGTACTCATAGTAATTGCGTGGTTAGTTACGGTTCCCTAGCCTAGGTACGACTAAAATAGAATACTATTAAATGCCCTTCCTTTGGCTTATTTTTTTCATAATTTAATTAATACTAGATGTACTTGTATAATACTTAAACTACCATTTGCATTAAAAAAAAACCAAAAGCAATTTAATAATTACTTTATATTTAAAGCATATTCTTTTTCTGATATTTATAAGCCTGGCTAGCGTAGCAGTACTAGTTCCGCAATTCCACGCATCTCGTACTTACTACTGACTGGTTTCCAGTTTGAAACCTCAAGTGCTACTATATGCAATAGATTTTCGGGGCGATTTGGTTGCCTGACTCGAATAACCCTACTAAGCCTAGAGCCAAGAGCCACAGGGGGCGTTATCACCAATTAGTTCACATCCAGCTTGTATAATAGCTGCGATACAACTTCTATCCAAACTGCGCGAGATGCCAAGTCATCAAATAGCGTGGTAGCAAAGGATAATAACGTATAGATTACTGATTTTAACGGCGTTGGATTGAGCATGCACAAAGCAAGGACCATGGAAAGGTGATATGCAAGGACTCAGACCTCTAAATGTATTGTATTTTTTGTATTTTTTACTATACTATATTGTAATGTATTGTATTGTAATATATTACAATACATTACAAGGTAAGAATACCTATAAATGTATTATAAGGCTATAAAATATCTAATAATAAAAATAAATGCTTACATAAGCATACTATATATTAAAATAATGCTAAAAACCCTTATAATTAGCCTTATAATCTTAAGTTTAAAAAAACAGGGGTTTTTTTTACTTATAATACATTTATAGGTATTTTAGTTATGTAATGTAATGTATTTAAATACAATACACGAAAATACAATACAATACAAAATACAATACATAATACACTTGTATTTACTATATTCGTAAGAGCTCTGCAAGGACTAGATAACACTACAAAACAAGTACTTTTAAAAGCCTTATCAAATATTTAATGACCCAGAAAAGATAACACATCATTAAAAAATGTCTTGTACTTGCTACTTGCCAGCCGTGCATGGCGAGACGACAGCAAACCCCACTCACACCAGCGACAGCCGACCGCCCCTGGCGGGAGAGATGGTTTTCTGTTGCATATTGCAAAGAATCAAGCGAGCCCCAGCGGACCAGCCCTGCAAGGGTTTTGAAGAAAAGAAGTATCTTAAAGAAGCTAGTTTAGCTCAGGCGACTAAAATTGCCAAGAGGCCCAGAAGGAGCTGGCTATAATTTCGGGCGTTCCATTGGCGGATACGAAGTCGTTTCTGGAAGTCCACTAGGTCGAAAGGCTTTCAACTGTTTTGTCGAACGTGTTCAGCTTGGTAGAAGAACGCGGCTGAAGAGAAATGAGAGAAAGGGACGCTGTATGGCCAAACATAGGTATCATTCCTGCGTTGTCGACCATGTCAGCCTCGTGTTGGTCATGGCATTAAAGTTGGTGGCTTGAAAGCAGACAGCCACTCAGGATACGGTATTTGAATAAACAAATTACACCTGGGAGTATCATACCAGGGGATTGTGCGAATCAAAGTACTCCTTCGTATGTCTAAATCTGGTTGTCGAAGTCATACGGTTACACGAGGCCTACGATCACGGGACCTAGGGCAGGCCCTCACGAGACCTTTGATCCCTCGAGGCCTTGATTAAACCAAGGACATTTTACACCAAAGACTGCTATTAGATGAATAGAGCTATTGCTCCAAGCCCTCACAGAGCCCTTGTCACAGTCGGTATGCGGCGACACCGATCACGTTTACTACTCCTTCACGCACACGCACAAACAAGTCAGCCATAGCACCTTTTGAGCGTTAGTATGCTTTTTTAGATACAATGGCTGTCTTCATGCAGGAACCGAGAGACCCTAAAGGCGTCAACGGCCAACACAGTTCGACTGGATAGCGTCAGCCACATAGAAAGTCTAAAATGGTACAACTTGCGTTCCAGCCAAATGGGAAAACAATTTAGCCAACTACAAAAAATCTGTGATAATTATACCTCTCATGTTTTCTTGCCCATTCACGGACTTGTTGGGCATGTCATCTCTGTCCCAGAGCGTCTATATAATATGGGCTGGGGCAAGCAGCGGCACCTCCGGTAGATGACACACCAGGTTTGAGCGATTGCTTTTGCCTGTTAGGGCACACTTATGTGACACTTACTGTGGGAACTCGGCGGGTTGTCCGCCGAGATGGGAAGACGTGGCGGACTATTGGTTGAAGCTGGCATGAGGAACGCCCAAGGTCAAAGGCAGCAGCCTTCGCCACCTGGCCGGCTCATCTATCGCCGAATGATCGAAGCCAATTCACATCCGGGGTCCTTGCATTCCGCTTCGCCGAAGATACGTACCCGTGGCCTTTTCTAGATGCCGCAAACCTGGCGTTGCGGATTGCTTTCGATTTGGTTACTGGCAGAATGGGGCTGGCAAGTCGAGAATTCTGGCGTCTCTAACCTCAGTGCCACCACGAGGTCGGACCATGAACTGTCCAAATGGCTAGATCTAGACCCCTGTGGGCTTTTGTTATATAATGGTACGCATATAATCCTGTAATTATACCCAGATGTATAAAAGCCTCTCGAGTCCTATTCTCTCCAACAGTGCCTTATCAGGAACATCCGAACCCACATCTTTGTTTATTATTGCTACATCTTCATTCAGCCTTGACCGCTTCGGTACAATCATCCATCATGCAGGTCAAGCCAGCTCTCGTCGCACTTCTCTCAGCTTCTCTTATCGACTTTGGAGCTGCCGCCTACTGCAACACCAGTCAACTGATCCATATGGATGTAATAGGTACCTGTACCTGCAGCCCAGAGCCCAAAGGGTGCTCTCAACAGTGTCCGGGGTGCGGATTCTCACCCACAAAGAGCATACACAACTGCAATGGAGGCTGTGAGGATACCGAATCCGACTGTGCGGCATGCGGCATCTGGTTCCATACTCTCTGCAACTGCCTGCAACACCCACTCAATTGCCAGAATAGCGGCACGATACAGAAATACGGCCAGGCGGTGTGGGTGCTGCTGGAAACTCCGCCGGGTGATGATGACCTTGTTACGACGACGGAATTCCTCCCTGGTATTCGCCAAATGGGTTCCGGACACGATGAAGCCTGGCTCTTCGCCCAGCAAAAGTTCGACAAGACGTCTCAGGCTCTCGCTATGAACCCCGTCATAGTGAGAACCATGGAGCAAGTCCATATCCATCTTTGCCCCCGCAATCGAACCATGGCCGGCCTCCTTGGCAAAATAACCAAATTCAGCTCCTCGAAGCTCGTGCAGCTGGCTGACGACAAGGAAATGTACTGCCTCGGCATTGACCATAGTGTCGACGTTAAGGGATTCTCTGGCCTTGTGGCTGATTTTATAAACAACCCGCCGCCAAATGTGTGCAAAGACATGGTTGGCGCGGCCATTATCGAGGACGACAAGAGTCGAAGATGGGCGTGCGCCACTACGAACCGTGACGGACCTTTGGCTAAAGTGTGCCATCATTAGTTAAGAATGGATAGAATGATAATGAATTATCAAGACGAGTTTATAGAGCTTGTGAGCCCTGGCGCGAGATTCAGAGCGATATTGGGTTTGCTACGTGATGATGATGGTGATGAACCGTAAAGAGATCGGTTGACATGTGAAAACTGGAATCGACTCTCGGGCACAGAAGATACTCGAGTTGAAGTTGGCAGGTTTGCTATGGCACAATTCCAACTGACCCCATCCTGGAGCCCAAACTGGCTACTATCCCAAGCGTGACTAGTAACACTTTCTGTTACACAAGGTGAGATGGCTGGCCGAAACGGGAAGTTAATCTGCTCCTCGGTATCAAGTCGGTAGGTCCGATGACAGCCTACGCCAACACATGCATCACCCCTTTCCGCAGCGACGCCTATTCTGGCGCCTACACAAGTCAGACCTTCGACGAGCGGGTAGCAGGAGTTATCCGCCGATGACCCAAAAGCTACAGCACAAGCTCAACGTTTACAAGGACGTCGACAGGCATACGGGTGAGCTGGTCGGCTGGGTGAAGATTGCGTTTGAGAATACCAACATTGATCCTGATCTATATCCCCCATCCGGTATGAGCTGCATGTATCAAGTGCCTGAACATCCGCGGCTAGTAAGGCGAACGGGTAGATATGTAGCAGTTACCTGTCCTTTGGATTCTTAAAACTTGATTTATTATTACAGAATATCAAGTTTCTAGTCCAAGTTTGGCGTGCATCAAGTCCAGTCGTTGGTCGGGGGTAACAATTTTAGTGACATCTGGAGGATGTCTAGTACTTTTCTTTCGGGCTTGGAGTCTAAATTATATGGAAAGCTTTATCTCCATCGCCATCGTTCCCGTTCATGCAGCGCTGGCCTTCCCCATCGCCTTTTCCATTCCACGGACGCAACATGGTCAAATATCTATCCTATGTTTCGGATCTATCGACGTCTAAAAGACCCCAGTTCCCGTTTGATTATTTAGCTTTTGACTGACGGCTAGACCATATCGTGCATTGGCGTCAAAATTCGCCCATCCAGCACGGAAATGGTCGAGGTCGTACGATTTGCCACGGGCGGCGCTGGCGGCGCTGGCACCAACCACCAAATCGCACTAGACAGGGCTGATGAGTCTCAGGGGGTGTCTTTCTGGTCTGGTACTTTAATATGGAGCGCTAGACAGAAATCACGGCTGTGGTGAACTGGTGCTTACACGCTCGACTATCATCGCAGGGTTCAGCAAATGTCTACTGCCGACTATGTCCATCAAAGCTCGACCAATACAACCAGCGCTCTCTCAAACCGGCCTTCCGCTAACAACTCAACCACTACTCTGATCAAACGACACAAAATCAGCAGTGGATATATGCGCGATGCAATCATCGGCCTTGCAGATGGCCTCACTGTACCATTTGCCCTGACGGCTGGACTGTCTTCGTACGTCCACCTTGCAGCAACCACGGGCGCACTATCCCAAGTTGTGGCTCGCGACTGACGCTTTACCAAATTTCAAACAGAATCGGCTCCTCAAAGCTGGTTATTATCGGGGGTCTTGCTGAACTATTTGCTGGCTCTATCAGCATGGGGCTCGGAGCGTACTTGGCCACCTCGACGGAGAGAAAGCATTATGAGATCGAGCTTGACCGCGAACGTCGCCAGGTTACCATGTCGGCCGATCAAGAAGAAGAGATTATGGTAAAGATATTTGAGGGCTACGGTATTGGTAGAGATGAGCTCCGACCGCTGGCGCGGCGACTGAGAAGTGACGCAGATGCATGGATTCAGGTTTCATGTCCCCTCCCCAGGACCGACCCTCGTTATCAAGATTCTAACGAGACCTATATATTATGCTAGTTTATGATGGATTTTGAGCTTCGACTGGAACGACCAGGACAATTAAAGCCGTGGCTATCCGCGATGGTCATGGGCCTTGCCTATTTTCTCGGTGAGTGTTGGCCATCCACATGGGCGCAGTGCAAGAAAAACGGTCCGAGACTACTTCCACTGCCCTACATCCAACAGCATGTATTCCTGACCGTTCGATTTTCGCCATTCCTAATTAGGAGGCCTTATTCCGATGATTCCGTACTTCGCCCTCGCGGTCAAGGCCGCGCTCTTCGTCTCCATTGGGGTCACTGCTGCTATGCTCACTCTATTCGGGTTTTTCAAGGCTACGAGCATGGGGCTGGCTCGCCGTGCAGCCGCTTTCAGTTCTGCCGAGACATTGTTGATTGGGGGTTTGGCGGCTGCGGCGAGTTACGGTATTGTCAAAGGCGTCAATTCTGCTATCCAAGTTCACCCTGGAGTCTGAGAATACGAACCTTGTTAAAAATTGAAAAAGTTGAACGTCTTCAGATCATGAAGTAGCAGTATCTACTAACAATTGGTCAAAACCTATGAAATGTCATTGTTGTAATATGCAGACACGACTTGAATCGTTGCCAGTATGTATTTGTTAGTTGTAGTGCACGGAATACTGATTGGACAACGTCGCATGTATGGCACGATTATTTGGACAGTTTTGGACAGAATGATAAACTCTTCATTTCCTACAAAAAGGTTGAATTTATGTGAAAAGCCAATGCATGCTGCAAGTAGCAGCACGACTCCTAGCCTTGAATAAGCGACTCGATCTTGACACACGCACATAAGCCAGCGCGATCTGTTGAAGAGCATTGATGTCTTATGCAGTCAGTATGTGGCCCAGCCCCTGGATGTGTGTTAGAAACTTTAGGCCTCTCCAGTACAAGTTAGAACTTGGGCTTCTTCGTCTCCTCCCAACTAAAAGATTGATTGGTGCCAAAGTGACCGTTCTTGGCCGTTCGGAGGTAGATAGGCCGGTCTAGGTTTAACTCGCGGCCAACGGCACCAGGGCGTAGGTTAAAGTTGCTGCCGATCATCTGAATAAGCTTGTCGGAACTCTTAGTAGAGGTGCCATAGGTATCGATAAATAATAGATAGCGGCTCAGCAATACCAATAGCGTAACAGAGCTGGATAAGAATACAGCGGGCAAGGCCAGAGTGAATCAAGGACTTGGTAGTCCAGCGACTGGCGTAAGCAGCAAAGCGGTCGACCTTGGAAAAGTCCTTGCCAGAGAATACACCACCACCGTGGGCATCGGGGGTGCGGACCCTGGCCAATATTGGGGGACTGCTGCTCGATAGCGGTGAGCACGTCAACTATCTTATAGCCGAAGCCCATCTTAGAGTTATCGCTAGTATCCTTAATCGTAACACGAACAATCTTTTGGTAGTCAAGCTCAGCCGCAGTGGTGATTTCACCACACACCATAACAATATCAGTCTTTACAGCTACCTCGGAGGCAACTTTAGAAAGGATGTACTCAGCCAAGCAGGCATCGAGAATGGCGTCAGAGACCTGATCGGCAATTTTATCAGGGTGGCCCTCACAGACGGACTCGGAATGTTGCACATGTTAGTTGTGATTAGATCAATTGCGTGAGAATATATCGTCGCTGGGTTTCTGAGCTAGATTATTACAGTGAAATAGGAAAGTACCCTGGAGAAAAGAACAGTTAGTGCCGTCCACGCCAGGCATCTTATTTTTGTTTTCGTTATTGGTCCTTTTTTTTTTCGTGTGTGTGTTTTTGAAACAATAGGACCGGAACGATGGCAAGGCGTTTGACCTCCCGAAGCACAGGTCACCGGGCTGCCATGAGAAAAATCAATAGCTATCGAAATCCTGATTAGACTAATCGCCCATCCACACACGTCGGAATATCTCATACCGTTACTGGGTCACTGGACCTTGCACCACCGGTGTGGTTGAGGAGTTCTCGAGGACCTGTTATGTCGCTCGGACATGGCTCTAGCGCCGCCCAATGATACATTTCAACTAGTGAAGTGGCGTAGAAAGGTCGATACATGGATGTGAGCCACCAAATTACGGAGGGTGTTGGGGAAGAGTGAAAAGTCCTGGGCAGGACGGATAGTGGCGTGACATTAGAACAAGTCCACATCGTGGCGTTTATTATGCGTCGTGAGAGTAGTGAAACGCATTGGACTATAGGATGAGAAATACACAATTACGCTCTATCCTAATGCGGAAATATCTCTATAAAGTGACCCTACACGTGAATCTCTCAAATGCTAGTTGCTCGTATAACTAAACTGTTAGGACTAGGTTACAAGCAGAGTAACTATAAAGATATTTAAAGATGCCTTACGGTATATTAACTATTATTTAAGGTTATATAAGCTATAATATTAATCTTTAAACCTTTTATTATTTAATATTATAAAGTTCTCTTTAAATACTTTATTATACTCTTATAATTAAGGTATAATTAAAGCTTAATTATATTAGATTATATTACTTTTATTAGATCTTAAGTAACTTATATTTTACTCTCTTATAATTAATTTTTAATAGAATTTCTCTTTCTTAATTATAATTATTTATGATTATAATTAACTTATAATAAGCTTATTACTTACTTAATTTATTAATAAAATAATAGCTAAAAATAGCTTTATTAAAGAGTATAAAGTTATTATTAATTATTAGTCTTTTAATTATAAATTATAAAGGCTTTTATTTAATTTAAATTTACTTTTTCTTTTTTCTTCTTTTTCTTTTAGCTTAAAACTTTTTATAAGTTAATAAAGTAACTATCTTTGTAGCGTAGTAGTTAAACGCTATAAAGCCTTACCTTAATCTAGTAAGAAGCTAGTTTAAACTTAGTTAAAGGCACTTGAATTTTTTAGCTTATTTACCTGAAAATTTAATTAACCTATAATTCTAATTACGTGATTTTAAAGGTAAAATTAAGTTAAGCTTACCTAAAAAATTAACTAATAAGCTTAAAACTTTAAGGTAAGGGAAAATTAAGCTAACACGTATTATAACTATAATATAATATACCGTAAAAAATTAAGATAATAGGTTAAGAATAAGCGAAAGAGAATAATTAATACCTATAACCTATACGAGAAGGAATACGCCTTATATTATAACGTGGAAAGCATTAATAAAAAACTACACTATATATAGTTTTTTAATGTAGTTTATAGTATTATATAGTTTTTATAGTTTTAATATAGTTAAACTATACTATAATTACATTTATAATATAATATATAATTATAAGGGGAAATTTTAATTATAAATATAACGTTAATTATAAGACTTAAAATTATATTATATTATATTACATTAAAATTCACTAAAAGCTATAAAACTATACTAGTTTTAATACTCTAATAACGTGGTATAAGGTAGAGAAGGCTTTACGAATACAAGGGGGTTTTTCTTTCTTTAAGGGTTTACCTACTTAAAATATAAGTTAATATACTAGAATAGCTTTAAAAAAAAAGCTTTAACGTACTTAAATAAATAAATAAATAATAAAGTAACTTATTAATATTTATTTTATTACGTGCTTTACTTTTACTTTATTTATTTATTTTCGCTTTTTTAATAGGTTTTTTTTAATCTTCTTTTTAGCTTATTTCATAAGACATTAAAAGCTTTATATCTTACTTAATATTTACATTTTAAGGTTAATTTTTAAAGATTTAAAATCATGTGATTCTTAGCTTTATTTTAATATATAATATGCTTATATAAGCTTTTTTTTTATAAAACTTCTTTTATAATAAAATTAAAAAATAAAAAAGTTAAGTAAGAGATATAAAATCTATTATAATATATAAAATAGGTGCGGCATAACACGACGCCTAAAGACAACTACGTGATAGCCTTAAATACCTAGATACTAGAATAGCTACCTAACTAGCGTACTAAGGCTAACCTAAACTTAGCCTAAACCTCTACCATATACACTCTAATAAACCGCTATTAGAATAGTTAGCCTAATAGGTACCTTTAACTTATACGATCTAGAACACGCTTTATATAATTATAGGTTATAGTAAAGCGGGAATAACTTAAATTAAAAGTAAGAGGGTTTTTCTTTTTATATAAAGGGTTTTCCTACCTAAACTATATATAAAAGTACTAGAATAGCTTATAATAGCTTTAGAGTACTCAAATAAATAAATAAATAATATAGGAAATAATGTATATAAAAAGAAAGTACAAAATATTATTTTATATGAAAAATTCTAAGGTATTTAAATATTCTATTTATAACTTTAATATATTTCTTATACCTTTAATATTTAATATTTTATATTTAAGTTATAGGGTAATACTATAAATATTATTATTTTAT